AAAGGGAAATTTTGTTGCAATTGTTGCTTCACCAGAAGGCTATGTTTTAGAACCCAGTCACACGCCTTGGACAACAAGACGTTGCTTTAGTGTTTGGATTACAACTCCAGTAGAGCCTTGGCCCAAATTCTCTGACATTTCCAACCAATTCAAAGGGGAAGAGGTGTTATAGTTAGTTCTTTTTTCTTACGAGGCCTACATCCGTTATATGCAGTACTGTAGTCCCAATGTCCAATTATTGATTGACCATCGAACTTTTTACGAAACTTTCTTCGTCCTTATTCATGAGAACTGTGGTGAATTGGAAGAATTGTTTGTGAACCACTCGTAGAAATCTTAAGGCCGAATGCTTAACTGTGCCATTGATAGCTCTCCTGTCTTTTGTCCTCACTAAGTTGGGCTGAGAATTTGTGTCGCGCAGTCTCAGAGCTGGCCGAAAATCTCCGAGCCGCTCAGGCGGAAAATGCCGATGCGCCTCCCGTCCAAACGGGCCTCCGCGACTCATGACGCCAGCCGCACGGGCGTGTCTTTAGCGTCTTTAGGACAGTAAATGAAAGAAAACCAGTCCGGACAACACAAATGTCGGAACTATCTCTGTTCTTAAGCACGTATTTCTAGCACCTCTGCAAAAGTTCACATTCACGCACTGAAGTTCCCTTTTGGAAACATCAAACTTGAAGCTTGAGAACCTGGTCTTCTGTGCAAGCCGTCTGAGGGAGTCTCGAAATGAATGATGCAGCCTAGCACCGATTTCATCCCATTTCTCGTCAATGAACGTTCAAGCTTTTTGAGCCCCCTCAGTAACCACTATATTTTCATTTAGTTTCGATCCGTCATCTCGAAATCTGAGCTAGAATCATTTGTTTACGGGTAATTATGTTTTCGCCGGCGTAAGAATCTAAAATCCCACAAAATACGAAACTGTTTTATCCGTATAGTTGTAAGCGTAAATTTTGAAGTAATTTAATGTGTTTTATGTACTATTAAGATGAATTTCAACACTACCTACCATTAAGTTCAAATATTAAATTTTGAGTTTTAGTATTTATCGTATATTATTTATAATATATAATTAACAACTGGGAAAATATTTAGAAAAAAAAATACCGTTGTGTTGAGGCCATCTTAAGTCTGTTGATTAACCAAAGTGGAATTATGTCATGACTGAAATATCGGTACATTTTAATTCGCAGTGTGCGATGATTCGACGTGTTTGTTCTTTCTTCCATGAGGAGAATTTGAAAATTAAAATAAATCGCCGTGTCTCAGCTTGTACATGGATATTATAAACTGTTTGTACAGAACTATAAATCCGGCGAGAAATAAGCTTACGTCATTTAAGACATGCAGTTGGTCAGGTAAGAAATGGTTTTCATTTCAGTTGATATTAATATTATTACATGCAAATATGCTATATTATATGCGACGGTTGTTCAAATGAAACCTGATCGTGGCGCTGTTAACGAACACGGCCAATCTCAAATGATGATGTGGTTGTGTGCATGGCACACCAACTCTTCGTACGCGACTTAGACAATATAATAGGGTCATTATGGCGAAGGGGCAACAATGTGAGACGGTTAAATATCGGCGTTCCAAGTGCAGATCTGTCTAAACAGAAGCGAGCTGTTATGCAATTGTTTGGTGCCACGGGTTGACAACCCAGAAGCCACCAACAACGCAACGCAGTATTGCTGAACCGTAAGAGATCGCTGTACTGCCACAAAGAGAAAGCATCCGGACATGGCCACGTGGGACGTCATCGTGGTCATCGTATTGCATGACATCGCCAACCCCCATGTGGCCCATTGCGCCCTATGCACCAGGTGTTAAACCATCTCTCAGACAGCATGCACATGTCACTACGTGCTAGACCCCCTCAAGAGAGACGAATGGGGATTGGTTCACGCCCAGAACAAGTCCGCCCCCAAATGACTTTCATTTGAACATGCCTAATATTATAATTGTATCTATTTGATATATCATACATAGTTTCCATACTATAACATGACATTTACGAGGGTTATTCGGAAAGCAAGTTTCCTTTTATTTTAGGCAACTAATGTAGGAGCGGGGGAGAGCTCGCGCATGCCATGTAGCGTCACATGACTCGTTACCTTGTAAACCATCACACAACTGGTCACCTAGCTTTGTTCTTGTCTATACATAGTGAGTTATGATGTGCCTTGCGATTGATAATCCCGCCAGCTGCGAAATTCGCGCTATTAACCGCTTTCTTCACACTAAAACCATGAGGGCTGCCGAAATCCATCTTGACTTACGAGGGCGGTTTAAAGCCAAAATGTAATGAGTGAAAGAACTGTAAAGACAGTTGTGTAGAATGTTCAAAGATGGGCGAACTAATGTTCACGATGAAGAGGGAAATGGTCTGTGAATTTTGGACTAAATATGTCGGTAATCATGGCTAATATCGACTTGGGTTTAAATTTAAAATTTCAGATTCTCCAGGGTGGAAGGGACCTATTAAGAGGAAAAAAGGTGTTGATTTTGGCAAGGGCAATATAAGACAACTGAACTATGGAAAATGTTCTAAAGGTAAGACTGTAATGGTCATAACCAGGGATTCTGATGACATGTCATCTTTTTTTTCTTTGAATCCTATGCGATGCTCTTAAATATATAAATCTCGGATATGAGCTGCTGGTTACAGAAATGTAAATTTTATAGATAATTTTTATTAAAATGTTTGGACTTTTAATGGTATTTGTCATTTTTGGCAATTTTAGGGAACTTTTCTTCATATGTTTTCTGAAATGTGAAGTGTTCTTTCTTTTCTCCTTTAGGTCATTTTTCTGGATTTTTTCGGTCATTTTTTTAATATTTTCAGGTCATCAAAATCCGGGTCCTGCATATTACATTTTTGGGTCATATTTTAGGTAATTTTTCTGGATTTTTCGGTCATTTTTTTTTAATATTTTCAGGTCATCAAAATCCGGGCCCTGCATATTACATTTTTGGGTCATATTTTAGGTCATTTTTCTGGATTTTTCGGTCATTTTTTTTAATATTTTCAGGTCATCAAAATCCGGGCCCTGGTCATAACACTTCAAACTGGAACTAAGCACATTATAAAATTATTACTTCATAGCTTAGAATTAAGACGGTATTCATGTGTCAGTTACTGTAAATTTGTTCTTGAATACTGAATATCATTTAACGAATCTGAAAGCAAACATCTTGTTAACCCTTCTTTCAAAATAATAAGTAATTCATAGCAATTAATGTAATTACATGCAACAATTCATACATGAATGCCTTCTTCATTCTAACCTCTTAGAACCATAATTTTTTTTTGTACTCCTTGTCTTTCAGACAAATATTTAGTTCATTTAATGATCCAGAATGAAGCATTGAATTTCACTTCATTCTGATGGAAACGATTTTAATAAGTAAGAAGGCATGAAAAAAATATTATATACAATCATGGATTTATACCGGGTGTTCCTAAAAGAATAGTGGGGTTTCATTGCAGTATATCTCCGTCAGTTTTTGGTGATGAAAAGCAAAACGTATATGGACTCATAACGCGGCTCTCAAATTTTCATTTTGTATATCGCGCTCTTTCCTAGTTCCATTTCTGACAGTTAGGATGCGTTAAATGTAAGATGGCGACCCAGCAGGAGAAGGCCTATTGCGTGCTGAGGTTTGAGGTGTCTAAATCCGTCGTTACAGTGCGCCGTGAATTTCGTGTACGTTTTCGGAAGGAGGCGCCACATGAAAACAACATTCGCAGATGGTATCGGCAGTTTGTGGACAGTGGATGTCCCTGTAAAGACAAGAGTTCTGGGCGGCCACGTGTGCCACATGCCCCCCTTCTCTGGTGGCCACCCCGATCCCCGGATATAACTCCATGTGATTTCTTCTTGTGAGGGTACGTTAAGGACATGGTTTTTGTATCCCCATTGCCCCAATCGCTCCAGGATCTCCGAAACAGAATCAATCGTGCTGTGGAGACCATCACACCTGAAATGCTGCAGCGGGTGTGGCAGGAATTCGACTATCGCATTGATGTGTGCCAGGTAACGAAAGATACGCCCATAGAGGCACTTATATGGATGTACATAAAATTTGGACAGTTAAGTTTCCGATTGACACGTTATGATTGTACACGGTAAGGAATACGAAATATATAGGTATCTAAAACCCTACCATTCTTTTAGGAACACCCTGTACTAATTTGACGTTTCTCTAAAACCCTACCATTCTTTTAGGAACACCCTGTACTAATTTGATGTTTCTCTAACTTATTTATTTATTAGGTGTCCTGTGAAATCAACTGAAAAATGAATGTGGAATAATCAGTATAAAGTCCTGTTGATAAGATTCACTGCCTCTTAAAGAAGAAGAGAATGTTAACATATTTTGGGAATGGTTATATGTGATCATATGCCACAAGTTGAATATCCCCTGATTTAGAGTGCAAATGCATGCTGTTTAATACTGTAAAATGATGGTTATCATCTGATCACAACGGCTATATGGTCTGAGGCATGTACTGTCTCTCACTGACTGAACACTGGAATCATTGGTTCAAATTCAATTTGAAATATGTATGTCCAAATTTTGTGTGTGTGTGTATTTTGTGCAAAGACCTCGCAATGAGTTGATCCCCATCCAAAGAGTCCTACAAAATATCTTCAGGATTAAATTTCAGAAGTTAATTTTGATTTGGAATAGGTCACAGGGTGATGGTTATAATTTGTTTCACATAATGTTAACTAAAAATTATGGCAAAAAGATATGAACAATGTGGTGTACTAGTTAGCAGTTTGGGGAGGGGGAAGGGTGCTCAAATTTCAACCCAGAGACTGGCAATTTGACTGAGACATTTCATGATTTTCCTCAGTCTGTTAAGATATGCTGTGGTAAGTAATGGCCACTTAATGTCCCCAGTGCATCATTCTGTTGTGACAATACATAACCTATGCAGTTGATGAGAGCATCAACAATTAAACCAAGACACAAACTTAAAAGAGAAATTGAAAATACAAAACTTACATCTTTATTCATGAACACATTGAACTGCGAAACTACTGACTCATAACAAAGGTGTCAGCAAGAACAGTACGAACATCCACATCTCTTAACACAACACAAATTATGGCAAATAGAACTTCACAAAGTGGAACAACTGCAGTATTGAAATCAAAATGTTTTTATCTGGAAAAAGGAATCAAGCTCTCTCATATTTTTGTGAACATTTAATAGGTCTTAGTCGTTATACTCTTAGAGGAGCATATTGTAGAGTCCAATGAATATCCTTTCATCAGCTCTATTCATTTTTAAACTTCATGATGAAAGCATCATAATGAATAAGCATATGAGAATCTAGAAAGTCACTTATTCAACAACTGCCAAAAGGAGTTACTAATTTAAAACAAAAATTGTGATCTTCTGGATTATGATAGCATGTGGTCTTGTACATGGTTACCAGTGTTTCAAAGGAACCCGATGCATTCAATTTTAAGGTGAATATGAGGCAACAGGTTCTTTCAAATATAGGTAACCACCTAGATCACACAGTGTCATAACCAAGACAACCTTAGCTATTACATGTCCATAAAAGTTGTAATATAAAAGCAAAAATGTGTAGTGACAAAATATACCTATATTTGTGCCAATAATAATTATCACATAAATACATACCTGCATATCCCAAATAGTGTTTACTTATCAATCACTTCAGTTGTCTCACTTTGTGTAATTCAGCATAAAAATCCAGTTTTAACAGATAAGCATATGCCATCACTCAAACATTTTCAAAGAACAGGCCTTTTCAGGCAATATCTGCAACCACATAAAGACTACACAGGCTGCTTCTTCAACGCAAGTTGTAATTTCAAAGTAGCATAGATGAAAATATGCAGGAAACACAGAAAGAGTACTGCACATCATAATCATGACAACAAAACTAAACTAAATACCTAAATAAGAGCTGACTTTTGCTAAGATATGTGCTATTCAATGTGTAGCCTTGTTTGAAGCAGCCTGTAATGCTTTACTTCTTCAGGGAAAATGTTCTCAGAACTCAGCTACACAATGTTACCTATAAGTATTACTTATTTACTGGAAAGGACCATAATGTAATCAAATTACCCTTTCAAATTCCAGTCGACTGTAAATCTAACTGAAGGTGTGATGACTAGTACACATATTTCAATTGATCTGATCTGTATATATGAATCAAGTTACATAATATCAAAAGCATTATCTTCTGGATTGTGATGCTGTGTACTAAAGTAAAGTTTACTGACATTCCTCCAAAGTGTCTGTGGATATTTACTAACTACACAGTGTTACAACCCTGAAGATATACTCTTCACAACCACTGTTGTGGTTGTACTGTACTGTATCAGTTACACAAAAATATAAATTTACATTTTGCAATGACTATGTTTGGTGTTCGTTTTCTCTGCTTCTCAGGCAAATGGTTATATTGCATATCCACAGCAATAAAAATTATGAAGTGCAACTTACAAAGGAATAAATATATGTATTATCTTGTCTACAAGTCAACCTCATGTCAGAAATAGCACACAGACCGCTTCTGTTTGGCTAGACCCAACATAAATTCTAACATTTCAGTCATTTTTATAGAACTGTTAATTGCTATTAGTTGTCCATCTTAACAGATTTACTGCCTTCTCCCTTTGTAGATTTACTGATATGCATATTGAAACTTATGCAACACACTACACCTCAGTACTATTCAATGGGATTACAGAATCGTATAAATCAACAGAACATTAGTAACATGACAATGTTGGCACTTCTTTATGGTATGAGCAATCAATATAACAAACCATACCTTTAATCATACCCCTCTCACTATTCACCAGTGAACTAAAAGATAATATTTGCAATAGTGCTTATGACATTGAATTACAGATGAATTGCAGTCTCTGCAAACTCCCAAGGCTTGTTCTAGCATAACTGATTTTAACAATATTGTCTTATGACTGGGGGAATATAATACTTAAAAACTGTGAGTATGGTAGTGGATACAGCTTGGGGCAGAACATCCTGCCATCATCATTGGCCAGTGTATGCAGAGCCTGGGGTGTGCAAAAAAAAAAGGGACTTTTCGTGCCATAACAGCACATACAAGAAACTTCCCTGAGGTTTTCATTAGAATATTTAAGACTTCTTCCATGTAAAGGCTAAGAATCGTGGAACTTTCAAATAAAGACACTCATTCCCTTTTGCAATGGGAATATTTCAGTACAAAAATTATACATATCAACACATACGGAAACATTTTCATAGTAACACATGGTTTGCAATGGAATCATTTAATTATAAACCTCATATAAGTAATAATTCAAAGTGCCTTCACCTCACAGATTTCTGTGAATAACTTATTGTTTTTCTAACTTTTTGGCTTGAGCAAAAGATTCCACAATACTGTCAGAGACTCTGTCTGAGCCACCATTACAGCCACCACTTATGAACATAGTCGGGATCTCAGTTCCATAGTAGATTTTATTGTTCTTAGCTATAGCTTCATACTTCTTCATTTCTAAATATTCTTTAGTAAGAAGCAAACTGTTTGCTTCTGCTTGCTTTTGAGTCTGGTAGAAATCAGCATCTGAATGACTCTTTTGTTTTGCCAAATGAATTTCATCTGTGAAACAAAAAACGAAGATGACACACTGGCAATAAATATGTATAGAATGTAAGTTAAACTGAAACTATAACTTCCCCAAATGAAAGAATTATACAAAAAATTACAAAGTGTTGAGGATAACAACTGATGGATGATGGCCTGTGGAACAGAGAAAATGTAGAATGCTCTTTACCAATTATTGTTTATTATTTAATACTGCCCTCTCAACTGGACGGAATATGTATTGTTAAATGACAAGTGAGTGCTGGCTAATAGATTGAATAAATCACTAAATGCAGGGAGATCAAAAAGTCGCGCATATCAAACTAAAAGTTGTTATAAATTGTATTGCAGTTATTATAATTATATCTCCTACTGCTAGATTGTACTGTAGGAGTACTAACAATGAGTAGAAACACCATCTGTTGTGTATTGGTCATATGACGTCTGCAGTACAGCTTTGTTTATTGCATGACAGACATGTCATTTTCCCAAGAACGAGTTTTCATGGTGGAACATTATTTCGCCAGGTGTTCTTATGCACGTGTCGCAGATGAGTTTCGTCAGGAATATCCAGATTCTGCAGTTCCTAAAAATTCGACAATAACAAGAATAATCAACCGATTTCGGGAATGTGGATCAGTTTCAGACAGGAAGAGATCCCGGAGACTGTCCATTTTGACTGAGGCTAAACTGGCTGACGTGGAGAAAATGTTGCAGCATTCCCCTTCAGAAAGCCTGAGGAGACTATCAGCGCAATCAGGGATTTTGTATGGATGTGCTCAGAAAGTGATGAAGTTACACCTTCGTGCATATCAGGTTCGCTGTGTGCAGGAAGTGAAGGACCTGGATAAAGGAAAATGCTTAGTGTACTGTAGATGGTTTCGGACGTTTGTTGGCAACCATGGAGTTGAAGAGTGTGATCAGGTTTTCTTCACTGACGAAGTGTGGTTTCACCTTAGTGGCTACATGAACAGTCAAAACAACAGGATTTGGTCATCTGAAAATCCATGTGTTACATGAAAAGCCCTTGCACTGTCAGAAAATTGGAGTGTGGTGTGCTGTATCATGTCGTCAAATAGTGGGCCCAATTTTCTTTGAAACAACAGTGAACAGTCCAGTGTACCAAGACATCATTACACAGTTTATTGCGCTTCTTGAAGTTGATGAACGTGAATGTTGGTTGCAGCAAGATGGTGCCACATGTCACACATCTAACGAAACCATGCAGTTCTTGCACAAGTTTTTCGGTGACTGTCTCATTTTGAAAAGTACTGTGGCCCCCACGTTCGTCCAATTTGTCACCTGCAGATTATTTCCTTTGGGGTACCTCAAAGGAATTGTCTATAAAAACAATCCGCATACACTGGATGACCTCAAGAGCAACATTAAGGCAGCAATTAACAGCATCAGTTTACAGGTGCTCCACAAAGTGGCCTCAAACATGGTAAAAAGAGCTCGCGCATGCATTGCTGAACAGGGAAGCCATTTCAAGCATATGTTGTAAAGACATGATTTGATTTTGCATTTCTAACATGTAAGGTTATAAACATTAATAGTAAGCACTGCATGTCTTGTAGTTTCTGCATTAAACCAGCTAAATATAATTGCTTCGTGTGATGTGTGTGACTTCTCGATCTCCCTGTATCATAAATAGTGAAAGGGAAGGGGGTGCCAAGAAAGAAATCCATGATTGTGAATTTTGGAACAATACTAAGTGCAGAGTTATCAACAGATCTCACGTGAAACATTTCATATTGATTAATAAAACAAAATATTACATATATACCTTCAATCTGTGACATCCTTTGCAAAGATTCTTTCTCCATAATCTTCTGTTCAAACTGAATCTTTGCTACCACAGCTTCCTTCTCTGCCTCTATAACTGCTTTCTTACGTTCTGTCTCAGCATCTTTTTCAACCACCTTTTGGTGTTGGATAGAAATTAACAACTTTGTTTTCTCACCTTCCCTGTGAATGAAACATGCATACAACAAAGACTAAATTAATTTAATATACACGTATCATATCTACAGAAACTACAGTGCTGATATATTGTTTCTGAGTGCTTACTCTTAACGACTCAAATACAGATTAACTCCAGTAGTCATGCTTGAGAAGCTGAAATGAAAGTCTCTTAAGTAGGTGAGTCTTGCAGTCAAGAAATTCACTGCTTCTGATGGCCCCACTTTGCAAAAGCCTGCAAACTGACTGCATCCTGAGCCAGATGAATTGAATTGACACACACACAACCTGCTTTCTTTAAGAACAGTTTTAATGCTATTCTACCAGCTATGGTTAGGCCTCCTATGTGGCATCTTCCTTTGAGTCCTCCAACCAAAATTCTATGTGCTTTCCTCAGGCCCCCATGCATGCAACATGCCCAGTCCACCTCATCTCCCTTGATTTTATCACCCTAATTAATACTTTGTGAAGAATAAGACAACTGTATCTCTACTTTATTTCACAGCATATTTCTAAATCAATATACAGGCCAATAACCTAGTCAGAAAAACAAACATGAAAAACATAAGGAAGTGGGGATTATGTAAGTTAACTTAAATGTACACTCTTCTTTACCAAAACTAATACATATGATGCAGACTGGATCTGTATCTGGACATCTGTTCCTAGGAGTATGTTTAGTGTTTCTGCACCACATAATTCATGGTTCTAGTCTACTTGATAACATATCTTGGCTGTGCTTACCTTCTGTAAGGTTCAGACTGATCATCATCTCATGAATAATTGGCTCTTCATTCATTCAGATTTGGAACTCTCAGAAATAAACACTGTCTTATAAAAGAATAACTTATGCAGTATTTATGACCAATGAAAATGACAATACTCTTAACAACATATTGTCTTCAAAGCCTCAATCTTTTCTCTAATAAAACTGTTACCTGACTGTTGTTTTAAACATTGAAGGGGCAATTACTTAGAGGAGAATAGAGATTGGCATGTCAGATATGAAAAGTCCATACAATGAAACATTCCAGGACAGAAAGGCAAAAAGGAGGAAGAAAAAATAAAAATTGGTGCAAAAATATCAATTGGATTAAAGAGGTTTAGGATACAGAATTAGGCATATTGGGAAGGATAAAATTAAAATGGATCTTAAATTAAATATTTTCTAAAGGTGTGGACTGGATTCAGATGGCTCGGGGTAGAGTTAAATGGCAGGATGTCATGAATAAAATAGTGAACCTTCAGATTACATAAGAAGTGGGAATTTTTTGCCCAGATGAGCAAGTATCCGCTTTTCAAGAATGACCATGCACCATGGTGTTATGTATCTGTAATGACAGTACGTGTGGGCCTGTAGAAATTGAACCTTCAGGATCAATTGCACAGGAAATGCCTTACACTTAAAATCAGCCTGCTGACTTGAAACAACTACAAGCAGAACTACTCAAGGAACATTTCAGTGTCACATTAAACATGAAGAAGTTCAAATCAGGTATGTTTCCCACAGTTAAACACAGTGAACGTAATACAAAATACAAACACTACAACTCACATCAATTCATAGTTCTTCCTTATGGTTTCAGGAATTTTTGGTTTGGTGACTCGAACAGCCTGAATATACAGCCCATGTGCCATTTCATTTAATTCCCGTTGCAGGGCAGTTTTGAGGTTTTCATCAATTTGATCAAATAAATCTATATAAACCTGAAATAAGTATACAATTTTGTGAACAATGTGCAAAATAAATATGAGTCAAATTATACTGTGGCAAATTGTCTGCCAATAGCTTCCATTTATATCTTATAATCTGAAGATATTACTTTCATAGGGACCAGAATTAATGTCACTATGGTCACTGTGTGCATGTGTGATATACATGGTAGAGTCATTAAGTTTGTGGAATGTGGTTTTATTGCATCATATTACAAGGTAATTCACATACGCTTATGCAGATCCACATCGGCCCTCAAAATAGTTGCCGTTGGCTGCTATACAAGTCTGCCAACATTGATATAGCTGTCAAAAACATTGCTGAAACATATTGACACTAAATTCCCATATGACACTTTGCGGCCATTCCACGAACTTACTGACTGTAGTAGTATATATTCACAGACCTTTTAATAACATTTATAGCAGAATGCTTTGGTTTACAAATGTGGTAAACTGTACTAAATCATTTAATTTAATTTATTTCATATATTTCCATCTCGAATGCAACTTATCAGTCACTAGTTGCACTGGACATGGAAATATATGAGGGTCAGTCAATAAGTAAGTTACAAATGGATATAGAACTTAAACAAATGAGTACTGATTTGAAAAATTCTTTTATTTCTCAACATAATCTCCCTGTACATTGAGGCACTTGTCCCATCATTTCACAAGTCCCTGAAAACCAGCAGCATAACATTCTTTGGGCTGCTGTCGGAACCAGGCGGTGACTTCCCTTTCTACAGCTTCATTGTCAGGAAAATGTTCAGCAGAAAGATGATGTTTAGGAGGGCCGAACAAATGGAAGTCACTTGGAGCAAGAGTCATCACCTATGACAATTCGGGCTAGCATATCATGTCCTTCATCGTGGTAGCAATTGAGATGCTGTAATCCCAGACCCATTCTTTGCATTTTGTGTTGTGGGGTGAGCATGCACAGCACCCATCATGCACAGACTTTGTGAAAACAAAACCTGTCATGCGACTTCCATTTGTTCGGCCCTCTTAAATATCATCTTCTGGCTGAACATTTTCCCTACGATGAAGCTGTAGAAAGGGAAGTCACTGCCTGGTTCCGATAGCAACCCAAAGAATTTTATGCTGCTGGTTTTTAGGGGCTTGTGAAACGATAGGACAAGTGCATCAGTGTACAGGGAGATTATGTTGAGAAATAAAAGCATTTTTCAAATCAGTACTCTTATTTGTTTAAGTTCTATTTCCATTTGTTACTTATTGACTTACCTACGTATGAAATAGATGATATATTAATGGAACAGGATGCTTAAATATATTATTATATTTAATTTAAACTGATTACTAAGGATGGAATTCTGTCTTCCATATGCAGGTTTCTTCAAGTGAGCAGACTGTGAAAGAAGACATCATCTGAGTTAAACATTCTGGCACTTCATATGAAAACAGTAAGAAACATCATTTACAATATTCTACTTCTCATACAACAGGCAAACCATTGCTATTTTTATATTAGTACCATGAATTGTACTTCAGTATGTTTCAAAAGGATTCTCTTTCCCTATATGCAAATAAGTGTAAATAAATTCCTTCACAACAGTACTACTCATTTAAGTTCAGTCTTTCCACTTGGATATATGTAACTATCTGTCGTAACAGACTTTCACAAGGAGCAACCACGTTTCAATTTTATATTACGTGATATCAATCGTTCTGAAGAGGAAGAATCTTCAATTAATATAAGTACATTCAACTCTTGATTATCTGGGATAATGGTGGGGATGGAAATCATGATTAATCAAAAACCCGATTAAGGCAAATTTTATTAAAAGTAGTACTGTAATACTGTACCTTCATAATACTATAGGCCTACCTGTATTTAAATTTATTCAACCTCATTTTTATGTCATCTCATGTCCTATCAGCCTGTCGTCTTTTCTTTTGAAAACGATGGAGAAACTGGTAGATAGGCATGTTAGGGACGGGGCATTGAGGACATATCCTCTACACCGAAACCAACATGCTTACCAAACAGGTAAATCTACTGAAAGTGCACTACACAATGTGGTAACATGCATAGAAAGTGCAACTGAACACAAGGATATTGCCTTGGGAGCATTCTTTGATAGAACCTCATTTGATGTAATCAAACAAGCTGCTGGAAGGCATGGCATAGAGCCTGCAATATGCAGATGGATCAATGCTATGCTGGAAAGCAGAACCATAGCTGCTACATTATCGGGAGAGACCCTGGGGGCATCCGTGGCTAGGGGATGTCCACAGGAGGGCGTACTCTCGCCTCTGCTGTGGAGTCTGGTCGTCGACGATCTCCTGCGGAGACTTAATGATGATGGGTATTATACAGTAGGATATGCTGATGACATAGCAATCCTCATAAATGGAAAATTCCTTTCGACCGTATCAGAGCGTCTTCAATCAGCTCTGTACACGGTCGAACGATGGTGTGAAAGAACAGGTCTTTCCATCAATCCCAACAAGATGGTAATTATACCGTTTACAAGGAAGAGAAATATAAAGGGTCTTAAGGAACCGACTCTCTTCAATAAGACAATCCAGCTCTCCAGCGATGTCAAGTACCTTGGTCTAGAATTAGACAAGGGACTGACATGGAAAAAGCAGCTGGACAAAGTCATTAACAAAGCCTATAAGGCTTTTTGGACATGGAGAAGCATGTCTGGTAAAACTTGGGGACTACAGCCACACGTTGTACATTGGGTATACACTGCGGTTGTGAGACCCATAATTACTTATGGTGTCACAGTATGGTGGCCCAGAGTTAAATTCAAGACTAGCAAGACAGAACTTGGCAAATTGCAAAGGTTTGCTTGCTTAGGTATAACAGGAGCATTTCTAACATCTCAAACAGCTGCACTGGAGATACTCCTTGGACTCCCCTCACTGCATATACAGTTGGATGCGGAGGCCAAGGAAGGAATTTACCATCTCCAGTGCAGTGGACAATGGAAACCTAGATCTGATGGTTTTGGTCATGCAGACATGACTCAGGACATGAAAAAAGAACCCATATTGCAAATGGGGTCTGACAAAATGATACTAAGATATGTATATGAAAAACCCTTCACAGTCAGATTTCCTGACAGCAGTGAATGGGAAGATGGATTTTGGCCCGATAGAAAAGAGGGACTGATCTGGTATACAGATGGTTCCAAGACAAATAAGGGCACTGGAGCTGGTGTGTACTGCCATGGCATGAAACGGAAACTTAGTTTCCGCCTTGGGCGGTACATGACAGTATTCCAGGCAGAAGTATATGCCATTAAAGCATGTATTATGGAGAATTTAGATAGGAACTATAGAAATAGGAACATCTATATTCTATCTGACAGCCAAGCTGCACTTAAAGCACTTGACAAACACCAGATTAATTCAAAATTGGTCTGGGATTGCCACCAAACCCTCATGGAACTGGCCAAACATAACAGGGTACAACTGATATGGGTGCNACTGTTGAAGCTCAACAGGAACCAGCTACGATGGGTGGTAGGACTACTTACAGGACACTGTCACCTCAAAGGGCACCTGTTCAAACTGGGACTGAGTGATAGTCCCACCTATGAGAGGTGTCAGATAGAAGATGAAACAGCCACAAACGTCCTGTGTGAATGTGAGGCATTAGCTTATTTAAGATTACGTCACTTGGGCCAGTACTTCATGGAACCAAGTGACTATTTTGACGCCCCCACGTCCAAGATCCTGCACTTCATCTGAAGCGTGGGGTTGCTGAGGGAATAATTAAAAAAAGGGGAAGCACAATAGACCTAAGGTCGCGGTGCAAGGGCCGAGAAGGCCTACCCCTCATATATTCTATTTTATTCTATGTCATCTCATGGCCTATTTAATACTTTTTTTTACATTACACTGAAGTATGAATTAGTTATTTCAATCACAGTGTTCAACAACATCCAACAGTTTTTACAAATATTCACAATTAACACGTAAAAGAATTTAATATTGTCGTTTGCTTTTTCGTGGCATTTTCCTTTTTACGGATATCCGTACGAAGCCTGCGTAATATTAGCTTGTCACTTAATAAACTGTTCTCTTCACTCTCAAGATAGTCTAGTACGGATTCCAAATGATTAAGAGCAGCACCATGTGATATTTTCTTACTAGCAAGCAGCACTGTCCACCTCTTCCTCACGCTTCCTTTTACACCCTGACATTTTGCTAATGCACTTGAAGATTGATACAAAGAGACTAATTGGGGCGCTGTATCTGTCCTTGAAACTTTCCACAATGTGTTAGCATAACGGGACCAAAAAATGCAGAGCTCGGTTCACACTAGTGCAAAAATAGTGTTACAACTCACCATGTGAAAGAAAAGTGAATGAATATTAAACATATAAGCCTCAAAAAAGTCCCAGTAGCCCTGGTTAAGCTGCGAACTGGTTTATCCGGCCCCGGATAATCGAGAGTTCAGTGTAATATAAATTTCAAGCCAAGACAAAGTAAAACGGTTTCATTCATATGAAAGCTTTCATCTTCTGAAGAGGAAGAATTCAAGGCGAAAAAAAGGGACTACTGCATTGTTTTCCTCTCTTCTTGTGTGAAAACATCAGAACCATCAGTCTTAACAGTCAACAGTACAACTGTGACACATGCATCTAAATGAAGCTTCAATGTATGAACTGTATCACTGCTGTAAATAGAATGAAAGAAAATGGAGAAGTACAAATATGAAGAAAGCAGTCTTCCGGGATTTGGCACCGTGTATATGTGGTGTTAACCGACGTTTCGGAGGAACGTATCGCCTCCATCTTCAGGGTAGAAGAAAAAATATAAGAAATCTGCAAGCAGTCTGCTTTTACCGGTTCTCACGGTCTCTTCGCTTGCAGATTTCTTATACAGTAGACTCTCGATTATCCGCGGTAATGGCGGGGAGACTTGGCGCGGATAATCAAAAACATCGGATAAACCGAAGTACACATATACAAGCCAGATATACCGGTATAAATTTAACATCGTTAATTTTTTACACCATAAAACGCTACTTAAGCTTACCTTTTGTGATGCAGGCCAATGGTTCTTCATTATAAAGCTTCTGAAGTACGGTACATAGCCTATTATAGTTGAAACTGTTCTATTGTAGATTTATACACTGAAATACACCTACACTGTAATTTTAACCACACTAATATCCTAATGCCGTAACACGAAAATAATTGAATCTAATACCATTATACAGTACTGTGCACTAAAATAAAGGAAGATGAATGAATACCAAAAACTACGAATGTTTAGGAAAAGTAGTCTGTTATTGATTTCTGTTTCAATGACATGGCTTCTTTCTTCCTTATGGTTGCTCTCAATCTGCGTAACACCAATTTGTCAGAAAGCAGAGAATCGCTTTGTTGCTCCAGAAACTCTAGCAAACCCTCAGTCCATTGAAGAGCAGATGAATTGCTTATCCTTGCATTAAAATATAGTTTTGCCTGTTTTGCGCAGATAATTCCTGAAACAGGAATGTTTTGTGCCCTTTGTTGGTTAAACCATTGCAACATTGCTTTGTCAAGCTCATCATAAGTTGGCAGTTTCATTGTTTTTCTGCCTGATAAGCCACTCGATGAATCAAAATTACTGGCGTAATTAATCAATTTATCTTTATTTTTTCTGAGATCGCGAACTGTTGTTTCACCTATACAATATTGTAAAGCTAGGTTTCTGGTAGACCATCCTTGCTCAAGCTTCTTAATTATGTCGAGTTTCTGGTTAATTGTTAAAACTACACGCTTCCTTTTCTGCTCCATTATTTTTAAATTATTGAAGAACCAGTCACAATGATAAAAAAAACAATGGTAATTCGGCACTTTCTCGCACAAAAACTTAAATTGTATTTTCCCACACAACTGAACTGCCTACTGTATTAATAACAACTGAAGAATGCAGTTCAGTGACAGACAGGATCGTACTCTTCTTTCAAAAGAACTCTCCTTCCTCCCACTACTACAGATTGACTGGTGCCTGAGTTTGGTCTTTGTTGGTCCCTTTGCTAATTGAGGTCTCACACCAGACAGATTTATGGCTCCTTGCTGGTCAAGGTTCTTTAACATTCTCTACTTGTTGGAAAAAGGGTAGGTTTCGAGCTTTCGAAACCTGATTTCGAGCTTTTAAGAAAAATAACGGGAGAATATCGATGGATGACGTAAATGCGAGTACAGTTCTCTCTAAATTATAGTAAACTAACATTGACTGTCATACAAAACATTTAAACAAATGTGATACTCACTGAAAAAAAAAAATCTTTAAAAATACATTGCCGCGGTTGAGCCGCAAAGCGGTTAAACAGCGCGCGGATAATCGAGAGTCTACTGTATTTTTTCTTCTACCCTGAAGATGGAGGCGATACGTTCCTCCGAAACGTCAGTTAACACAACATATACACGGTGCCAAATCCCAGAAGACTGCTTTCTTCATAGTCACCGCCGTGAAAGCCTCAAAAGTACAAATATGTTAGCCAATACAGCCATAACCATGGACAAAAGCACAATACTGTCAATATTTCCCATGAGGTGGCAAAACCATCAGTTACAAGTGTGTCTATGGTGCTCACACAAAACTGGGAAAGTAATTTCTGTAGCGCATATCTGTACTTGTGTGTACTGACTTAGGTCAATTTCAATAAATTTGTTTGGCTACCTCTTGCAAACTGTGGACACTGCAAAACTGGTTCAGCTCATGATGAACTTTGTTGAAGATTAAAGTTTTGTCATAATCTGCGGTATAGTTCTTCACAATATCATACACTGTAACAGAAAAATACTTTCAATTAATCCTATGTTAGTTATCTGACATCCAAAAAAGAAAAAAGTGTTCAAGTATATCTCACATAAAAGAGAAGGAAAAAAAGGTTGAATTGAATCTGAAGTTAACCACATTTACACTCACATCTTTTAACAACTCCTCACCATAAAAAATTACTTTGTTACGAAAATGAACATAAAGCCTTGGACCTGGACGGATTCCTTGGATAAACAACCTAAGCTAAAGAAAATGGATATGAGATTTTGCACTTGGAATATTTGAAGTTTGTATAGGGCAGGTTCGCTCAGGGCAGTGACAGAAGAAATCTTAAAATATAAGTTACATTTAGCGGGAGTACAGGAGGTCAGATGGGATGGAGGTGGCATCGCACCAGCAGGAGACTATACATTTTTCTATGGAAAGGGGAATGAAAATCACGAATTAGGTAGAGGTTTTTTGTACACAAGAGAATCGTATCAGCAGTTAAGAGGGCAGAGTTTGTTAGTGATATATTGTATATAATACTGAAAGGTCGCTGGTGTGATATCATTGTTATGAATGTTCACGGCCCAACAGAAGATAAAATTGATGACATAAAGGATAGATTCTATGAAGAACTAGAACATGTATTTGATAAATTCCCGAAGTGCCATATGAAAATTTTGTTGGGAGATTTCAATGCCGAAGTAGGAAGGGAAGACATTCTCAAACCAACGATTGGGAATGAGAGTTTGCATGAAATTAGTAATGATACTGGAGTTAGAGTAGTAAACTTTGCCACATCAAAAATCTTACTGTCAAAAGTAAAATGTTCCCACATTGTAACATCCATAAATTTACTTGGACATCTCCTCATGGGAAGATACAAAATCAAATAGATCATATTTTGATAGAGAGGAGATGGCACTCAAGTATAATTGATGTCCGATCATTCACTACAGCAGATTGTGATACTGACCACTGCCTGGTGGTGGCAAAGGTTAGGGAAAGGCTGGCAGTGAGCAAACAGACAACACAGAGAATTCATATGGAGAGGTTCAATCTCAAGAAATTAAATGAGGTAGAGGGTAAAGAGTAGTATCGTGTTGAAATCTCAAATAGGTTTGCGGCTTTGGAAAACTTGCACACTGAGGTGGATGTTAATAAAGCTTTGGAAACTATTAGAGAGAATATAAAAATGTCTGCCAAAGAGAGTCTAGGTTATTGTGAACTGAAGAAGCATAAGCCATTGTTCGATGAAGGATGCTCAAAATTATTAGATCAAAGAAAGCAGGCCAAATTGCAATGGTTACAGGATCCAAGCGAGTTACCGGGAATAATCCGAACAACATAAGACGTGAAACCAGCAGGCATTTCAGGAACAAAAAGAGGGAATATCTGAAAGACAAAATTGATGAGCTTGCAATGAACAGTAAGAACAAGAACATTAGAGACCTGTATAGAGGAATAAATGACTTTAAGAAGGGTTACCAGCCTAGCAGTAACTTAGTGAAGGATGAGAATGGTGATCTGCTTGCAGATTCCCACAACATTTTGAATAGGTGGAGGAACTACTTCTCTCAGTTATTGAATGTACATAGGGTCAGTGATGTTAGGCAGACAGAAATCCATACAGCTGAGCCGTTAGAACCTGATCCTAGCCCTTTTGAGGTTTAAAGTGCTACTGCAAAATTGAAACGGTATAAATCGCCAGGTAGTGATCAAATTCTGGCAGAACTTATTCAAGCAAGAGGTGAAACATTACATTCTAAGATCCACAATCTAATTACTTCAGTTTGGCATAAGGAAAAATTGCCTGATCAGTGGAAGGAGTCTATTATTGGACCAGTTCACAAGAAGGGTGATAAAACTGACTGTAGTAATTATCGAGGAATATCACAGCTATCAACTTCATATAAAAATGTATCTAATATTTGTCTCTCAAGGTTAAGTCCATACATAGGTGAAATTATTGGGGATCATGAGTGTGGGTTTCAAAGTAACAGATCAACTACAGATCAGATCTTTTGCATTTGTCAGATATTGGAGAAAAAATGAAGGTACGATGAGACAGTACATCAGCTATTCAGCAAGAAAGCCTGATTCAGTTAGGAGGGCAGTATTGTACAATATTCTGATAGAGTTTGGAATACCCATGAAACTAGTTAGGTTGATTAAAATGCGTTTAAACGAAACATATAGTAATGTCCATGTAGGTAAACATCTGTCTGATAAATTTCCTATACAGAATGGTCTAAAACAAGGAGATGCTTTATCGCCACTCCTTTTCAACTTTGCCTTAGAATATGCAATTAGGAAGGTCCAGGGAAACCAGGTGGGACTGAAATTAAACGGGACTCATCAGCTGTTGGTCTAAGCCAAGGTGAATCTACTGGGTGATAATGTAGATACCATAAAGAAAAACACACGAACTTTAATTGGCGCAAGTAAAGAGGTTGGTCTAGAAGTAAACAGAGAGAAAACTAAGTATATGTTACTGTCTCGGCACCAAAATGCAGGGCAAAATCATGACATAAAGATATGAAACAGATGTTTTGAAAATGTGACAAAGTTCAGATATTTGGGAACAATGATAACAGATCGAAACCTGATTCAGGAGGAAATTAAGAGGCGACTGAACTCGGGCAATGCTTCCTACCATTCAGTCCAGAACCTTTTGTCTTCTTGTCTGTTGTCCAAAAACATAAAAATTAGAATATACAAAACTATACTTTTGCCTGTGTTTCTGTATGGGTGTGAAACTTGATCTCTGACATTAAGGGAGGAACATAGACTGAGGGTGTTTTAAAACAGGGTGTTGAGAATATTTGGACCAAAGAGAGATGAAGTGACAGGAGGTTGGAGAAAACTGCATAATGCAGAGCTTCATAACTTGTACTCTTCTCCAAGTATAATTAGAATGATCAAGTCAAGGAGGATGAGGTGGGCAGGGCACGTAGCACGAATGGGGGAGACAAGTAATGCATATAGGTTATTGGTGGGAAAGCCAGAAGGATCTTTCCTGGTAAGACCAAGGCATAGGTGGGTGGACAACATTAAAATGGATCTCAAGAGAGATAGGATGGGATGGTATGGATTGGATTGATCTGGCTCAGGAGAGGGACCAGTGGAGGGCTCTTGTGAACATGGTAATGAACCTTCGGGTTCCATAAAATGCTGGGAAATTCTTGAGTAGCTGCAGAATTGGTGGCTCCTCCAGAAGGGCTCAGCTCCATGAGTAAGTAATTAACATAAGTATGATTCTTTTAGATAATAAAATATTTGGACAGGCAACAGATTTTGATTATTTGAGCTACACTGTAAGCTTTCAGAAAAAGAATATGTTATACTGAGTCTACTATGGGAGTGAGGGTGTGTTGTTGTCAGCTGGTGATGCGGACCTTTACATCATCACTATACTTACTTATGGAGCTGAGCCCTTCTTGAGGAGAAGCCAAATCTGCAGCTACTCCAGAATTTCCCAGCATTTTATTGAACCTGAAGGTTCATTATTGTGTTCACAAGAGCCCTCCCCTGGTCCCTATCCTCAGCCAGATCACTCGAATCCATACCATTGCATCCTATCTCTCTTGAGATCCATTTTAATATTGCCAACCCACCTACGCCTTGGTCTTTCTAGTGGTCTCTTTCACTATAACATTAGTAAATTGTATGTTAAACATACTTCTAGTAGTCATATGTCAATGAGAAATTCAAACATATTTACACAGCACTTTTCTTCTTCTGTAGGGTTGCCTACACAAAGTATGATGTACCCGGCTTGGTAGTGTTGATGGACAATAACTTGAAGCTAAATAGATTTCTACAGTTCTGTGGAACTACAAAACAAACAGCATTACTTGGAAAATAATAAAAGTAAACTTTATTACAATTCTATATAGCAACAGCTATACCTAGAATTTTAAATTGATCTGAATATTGGGTGTTAATGAAATAAGTGAGAAGAATCAAGAGATCGCCAAATTAGGTACAAGGCTGTGTAAATAGTGAAAATTGTCAGTAGTGATGTATATGTGAGAATCTATTTGAAGCATCTGAATACAATGAGTGAATGTATAAGGGGCGGGCCTTCTTGGCCCTGGCATGCCGACCACAGTGATCTACTGTGCCTCCCCTTCTGATTATCCCCTCAACAATCCTGCACTTTGAATGAAGGGTTTTTCATATACATGTCTCAGTATCATTTTGTCAGACACCATTTGTAATATGGGTTCTTTTTACATGTCCTGAGTTATGTATGCATGTCTGAAACAATCAGATTTAGGTTTCCGTTGATCACTACACTGGAGACAGTAGATTCCTGCCCTGGCCTCTGCCTCCAACTGCAGATGCAGTGGGGGGAGTCCAAGGAGTGTCTCCAGTGCAGCTGTTGGAGATGTTGGAATTACTCCTGATACCCAAGCAAGCCAACCTTTGCAATTTGTTAAGTTCTGCCTTCCTTGTCTTGAGTTTAACTCTGGGCCACCATACTGTGGCATCGTATGTAATTATGGGTCTTACAACAGCAGTGTATGTAGCACGTCCACAAAGTAAGTTTCCCACTCATCCCACAGCTAGCAAACCTTATATTGCGCGAAGCAACCGCGCGTACATGCTAGAGCAATGAGGTAGCATGGTGCATGCACAAACGGAATTTCCCACGTTCCCACAGTAGCATTGTTGCAGCTGTTGAAGATGGAGGCTCTTATTCCAACTCACGCCGACTGTGAAGTGTGGTCAGTGATAAAGTTTTTGAATGCACAGAGCATAGCGCCGATCAAAATTCATTGTCAGCTGTGCCAGGTCTATGGGCCTAACGTCATGAGCAAGCAGATGGTGCGTCTCTGGTGCAGACAATTTTCAGCAGGTCGACAAAGTGTGCATGATGAGAAGCACAGTGGGCGGCCATCCATCATTACAGATGACCTGGTGGAGATTGTGCAGGAATGCATTATGGAGAATCGTCGCGTCACAATTGCGGAACTCAGCAGTCATGTCCTGCAGATTTCCCACACCTTGTTGCACGAAATTGTCACGGAGAACCTGTTGTTCAGGAAATTGTGCGCCAGGTGGGTGCCGAAGCAACTGACACCAGAACACAAAACAAAGCGCATGGAGTCAGCATTGACCTTTCGGCAGCGGTACCATGATGACGGCGACAAGTTTCTCGACTGGATCATCACAGGTGATGAAACGTGGATTGCACACATTACCCCAGAAACCAAGCAGCAGTCAATGCATTGGCATCACAGTGGATCTCCCTGTAAGACGAAATTCAAGGAGACGTCGGCACATAAAGTGATGTGCACGGTATTCTGAGACAGATGGGACGTTCTCCATGTCGACTTCCTGACCAGAGGTGAGATGGTGAATGCTNTCCTGTAAGACAAAATTCAAGCAGACATTGTCGGCACGGAAAGTGATGTGCACGGTATTCTGGGACAGAC